CTATAAATAGTAATAGAACAATTACAATTACTCTTCCCATTTTTAGGGTTTAGGGTTACCTATTATGGTAAAATTACCATTTTAGGAAATTAATTTATCCTTATTAGGTATTAATTTAACTATAAAAGGAAATTAATATATCCTTTTATGGAAACAATGACGATTTCCTTTTTTGGAAAACAATGGCACTATTTCCTTTTTTGGAAACAATGGCATTAGGGTTACCATATATGGAAACAATGTCATTTTCCTAATAAGGAAATTTAGAAAGGTTCCGGTTAGGGTTTAGGGTTAGGGTTACCGGTTAAGGTATGGGTTACCGGTTAGGGTTAGGGTTAGGGTTAGGTTAGGGATAGGGTTCCCACCTTTCGGTGGGCCTCATCATTTACCTTTCCTATTTTAATCTTTTTTAATATTCTCAAAAAGTTTTACATATAAATAGAAAACTACCGTCCTATTACGCATGCGTTGTTCAGTATTTGTTTTCTTTAAATTTATATTTTACCCCCTATGCAGGTGGGCGCGTAAGACTTTCTTTTTTGCTTTATTAAGTATATCAATTACAGCTGTTCCTTTCCGTACAGGAAATGCGACTCTAAGAATTCGATTTGAATGTACGGTAGCGTTGTAATTATAAATCTTAAATACCTTTCTAAATAATTTAATAATTATGTCACGACTTGGAGTATTTTGTACAGGTATGATAAAATCAATTTGACTTATAAAATCTTTTTTAAAGTCCCTGACTAATAATAAGTCATTCCAGTCAGAGTAGTTGTTAAGCCTTAGATGCTTATTAATTTCAACTTTCGGATATCTTCTATTTTCCAAAAAGTACTTGAATTCATATAGTGCTTTTTCGTAAGAAAAATCTTTATCCGAATTTCGAATAAGACGAATATTTTCGCCTTGAATCCAAGAGTAACGATAATTATAAGGATAATAAGATTCAGTATCTGTATAAGCATGAATGTTCGTAGGTTTATCATACGGTTTTATAGAAACACATGCATAAGCTTTATTAACAGATGATAATTTTATGCACATTTCTAATTCTAAGTCTAGAAATGATACTTTATTACCCATGACGCCTTCTAGTTCAAATCCCAACCTCGGCCATGTAAACGCTCTAAATAACATGGACCTCGAATATAACGAACGCCAAATACAAACATATTATCAACATAAATCCGTTCGTCGACCACAATCCGAAGAGAACCTTAAAACAGCTATAGAAACACGCCGACAAATAGTCACCCAGCAAATATCACAACAACAAATACAACAGAAAATGCAACAACAGCAACAGCAAATACAACAACAACTACAACAAATACAACAACTACAACAACAATTACAACAACAACTACAACAAACTACGCAACAACCATTACAACCATTACAACAAGCACAACAACAAATTCTGAACCAAATAACTAGTAGTAGTAGCTCCGCTCCAACTACAAACCCTAACCCTACTACAACAGAAGCTACAACTACTTTTACCGACGAAGTTACAGCCCAAACTCCGACTTTACATACAAGTACAACTCAAAATACCAACGTTGTTGTTAACCAAACTATTACTAACCTCGCTGTTTCTAATCCTGAGATAGGTACAAGTAAAAACGGAAAAAAGGTTAAAATTTCTAACGAAAAGGAAAAAGGAAAAGACGATGGAGATGACGAAAATGATGATAATGATGTCGTTATGGATGGTGTTATGGAAGAATGGTTACATTCTAGCTACAAAAATTATTTAAACTATGCTCTACCTAAACTACCTTTTATGTGCCGTGAACCCTTCAAATATTTTTGGAACAACCTAATAAAATACAAGAAAAAATTCGTCGAATTAGATCACCTTAAAGAAGAAATTGAAAACAATAAAATAAAAAATGCAAGAAAACTAAAAACCCCGAAATTTCAATTACCAAAAAATTTAGAAAAATTAAATTATACAAAATTCGAAGATGAAAATACAATTGAAATGAACAAACAATACTACGAAAAACTACTAAGCCATACTAAATCCTTATATACCAAACACATCGAAGAATTAAAACTTTATCTACAATCAACCACATACGAAGCTGACGACCTTAGTTTTTCGGAAGACTTTCCATTTAGACTTTCACAATACGGAAATGCCTTTGCTACTGGGGCTGACACCTTTAAAGACCTATATGCCGAAGGACTAGTTATCTTGCAAAATACACTAAAACGACAAGAAATTATACGCCAAAATAAAATAAAAAAACAAAACAAACCAACCGACGAAACTCTAGGAGAAGTTCTAAACGAAAGAATCCGAGCACAACTGAATATCTTTCTACGAAAAAATAATATTAAAAATGTAGAAGACCTTAACAAAACCAGATCTAGATCCAGATCACAATCCAAATCAAAAAATAAATCCAAATCAAGATCAAGATCTAGAAACCAAGCCAGAGCATATAATAATAATAATAATAATAACAATAATTATAATAATAAAAACAAAACTGTAGCAAATAAACATAAAAACCACACATACAAACAATGTCGAAATAAAAATGCCCATTTTTACCAAGCCGGGACCGCCACCCGGCGAAACCAAAATCAAAGCAAAAATCAAAATCGAAGCCAGAGCCGAAACCGAAGCCAAAACCAAACCTCCAATTCAAAATCGACCTCTCGATCAAGGTCAACAACAAACAGGACATCTTCACGAGGCCGCTCTCGATCACGAAACAATATATCTCGCCGCAATTCTATAACCCGTGGCAGATCCCAATCTCGACATTAGAATGTCGAATTCTTAACTATGGACATAAGTTCATACCAACCCCCACTTCTAAACAACGCCTTGACATCACTTTACCGGATAACCCCTTTATGGCCCGATCTTTGGACGACTTAGAACGCCGCTACAATTTACTATTTGAATTTGGCGGAGGCGGTCGTTCGAAAGTCGTCAGGATCCCAAACCCAAACTATCATCCAAAACCCACTTTACACGTACAAAACTTCATCAACACCCTTAAACCAAAAATATCATCAGACTTTATAAAAACTCCACACTATAACCTTACAATCCGCGAGAAAAAAGCTTTGCATAATCTTGCAACAAATAAGGATATAGTTATCACCCTTACAGACAAAAATTTGGGACTTGCTATTATTCCATATAAGGAATATATTAAAGTAATGGAACAGATGCTTAATGATATCGAATATGAAGAAATTAAGCAAACTGAAGTGGAATGTATTGATATTATGCAAAATCGTATTCTCCATTTAACTATGACAATGGAAAATAAACATAATATCTATTTTCTCCCAGAAGAAACACAACTTCCATATTTCCATTTACTACCCAAAGTCCACAAAAACCCTCTAAAATGGAGACCAATTGTAGGAATGCATTCTTCTCCTACTAAACGTATTTCAGTGTTCCTAGCACAAGTCCTTAAACAATGGATGATGGAACTAGAAGAAATCAACCCAAGGAATTGGACGCCGTTACGAGATAACTACCAATTAATCTTCCAAATCGAACAACGAGAAAATAAATTTAATAGTGTTATTACAGGAGACTTTGAATCCCTTTACACTAAATTTTCTCAACATGAAATAGTGGAAGCAATTAAATATCTCAATGACGAACTTCTTCCAATTCCAAAACATTATGGTCTCACTTTTGCTAAATACAAATACCTAATCGAAACAGTAGTAGGATTCAACTACTTTAAAGCATTAGGTAAAATTTACAGGCAAAAATCTGGAATAGCTATGGGAACAAATGCAGCAGTTCAAATTGCACAACTTACCTGCTTCGCCCATGAACATAAAGCTATTAAAAGAGGACTGTTTGAAAATATCTTCTTTAGAAGATATATTGATGATATCATAGTATTTGGTGATATAATAGATGAAGTTTTAATTAATAATATATATCCGACCCATCACAATATAAGTTGGCAACACATAGATAATGATAAAAAAGCTAACTTTTTAGATCTTTCTATTGAAATTGTAGGAGAAAATATTATTACAAAAAGATACTCAAAGTTCCCTAGGATGGCCTCGTTCGTACACTACAAATCTAATCATCGAATGTGTATGAAAAAACAAGTGGTCACTAATGAGCTTTCAAGGATAAGCCTTCTCTGTTCTCAGTTATCGGACTACCAAAAAGAAAAATTCATATTATTCGAATTTCTTACAGAATTTAAAGGATATCCTAATTATATCCTAAAGGAAGCCGATACAATTATTTGGGAAAATCGAACAAAAACTCTCTACCAAATAAATACTAAAAGAGCAGACGAAAAACTACTTCCTCCCATTATCCTTCGAGTACCATACGACTCTTTACTCTTTAAAGAGAAAAATTATTCAAAAATCCTACAGGAAAGCTATAACGAAACTTTAGGAAATCTAAAACTTCAAAAACCTATCTTATGCGTTACCAACATGCCATCATTAGTCAGAATCCTTGCCCGGTCCTCAACCGGGCACCCTAGCCCTAACCCTAGCCCTACCAACTAATGACGATTAAGTTAATTAAATATATTAACTAAAGTAACGGATATATAATAACAATATAATCGGGATTTACAATTTCGATTATTTCTTAATTCGGAATTAATTAAATCGGAAAAAGAAAATTCCGATTTACATAAATAGATTTTCCGAATTTAACCCTAATCGGAAGCTAATCTCCGATTAATAGATAACGGAAATTTACTTCCGTAAATAGATTAATTTTATTTCTATTTTTATTTTAGTATGAATTATCTATATTTAGTCTTATTCGCCGTTACGGCTTTTTTCCTTTTTTATAACTATTGTATTATTGGAATTTCTTTTAAATACGTAGAACAGTTTTATGACTTTTTTTCTTTGCGAAAAAATTGTAAACAACTGACGAGCTTTTAATAAAGCGAAAGTATACTCTTGTTATTTCGCACAATAAAAACCTGCTTTTTCTACAAAAAATTCGTTACTTTTTCAACTGCACGCTATACAAAGTTAATAAAATATAAATGGATTTTCTTTATAATAAAATCGGCTTTACAGCGTCCCCGGAAGAGAACGAAGAACAAGAAATTAACAATAATACTAAACTCTACGAACCAACAACAATAACAACTACAAATCCCAACCTCGGCCATGTAAACGCTCTAAATAACATGGACCTCGAATATAACGAACGCCAAATACAAACATATTATCAACATAAATCCGTTCGTCGACCACAATCCGAAGAGAACCTTAAAACAGCTATAGAAACACGCCGACAAATAGTCACCCAGCAAATATCACAACAACAAATACAACAGAAAATGCAACAACAGCAACAGCAAATACAACAACAACTACAACAAATACAACAACTACAACAACAATTACAACAACAACTACAACAAACTACGCAACAACCATTACAACCATTACAACAAGCACAACAACAAATTCTGAACCAAATAACTAGTAGTAGTAGCTCCGCTCCAACTACAAACCCTAACCCTA